ATACTACGTATATATTCTCTTGGCTGCGAGTATAATAGTTTATCAGTAATCCGAGGTCTCACTGCATTGAGTCTCGTAATAGCTTTTTCATCAATTCACCACCCTTAAAGTAAATGTATTTCAAATAGTATAAAAATTACAGATTTAAACTAATATTGCAATATTGCAAGTTATATATATATATTGCATTCATATAATAAAAAGTGACTGCCGTAAGTACGCACAATGCTTTAGACAGTTCGTATTCAACATGAACCCTAGAGGGCGCCATATCATTCAAGTTTACATTATCCTCAATAACATTGTGATCTTATTACTTATTATTATTCCAACATAAACTGCGGTGATTCGTACTCCGCCGCTTCAGACCCAGGCCGTGAGTGTAGGAGTTTCCGAACTACGTTTCTATCTTGTTTGACCTTATATGTCCGTATCCATGGTGACATACTATTTCTACTAGCTTTTCTGCTAGATCTGCCAGTTCTTTCACCGTTCTCAGAGATGTTCACAATTCCAGGCCAGTATCGTTGATCCTGGATAAACTGGTCTGCCGAAGAGAAGACAAGAGTTGGTTAATATCTAAAATTAATTGTCTTAACAAACTCCGAAAGTAACTACATTATCTTGATTAAACTATAAAAAAAAAAAAAACGTCGTTCTTTTTAGGATGCGTGCTAAAGCCAATCAACTTTTAAATTCTATGAGAACAATGTCCTAGCGTGTACGCTTCTCTCTGTTCGTGTGTCAAGCCGAACCCAGATTTTTTTACAACTTTGCTAACCTAGCCGACCAAACTATCACATACCATAGACCCAATCATTAAATTTACTGGTAATACATTCTACCAGATACATGCATGCGAGTAATAAACATCATACCGATACCATGGTTACTAGAAGTCTTCTGGTAACCGTGCCCATACGTACGTGATCGTATGATTCGCCTGGAATCGGAGACTGAGTTGAAATCGTCTTTTATTTCATCCTTCGTTGGAGCGAACTCCACATTCAACGGCGTTGCCACGGCTACTTCATCTTCCTGTAACGTGAATAGAGATGGCTTTCAATAAACGAGCATAGACTAACAACACGTGTATGTAACCACACAATATCTAAACAAGCGACGCTAGAACCACAAGTCCAAGTTCAATGCCAATATCGCGTGTTGATATTGCTAACATGGAATCATTGTTCAATCTATACCCATACACAAAATTGGGAATTCCACATCGATTCCAGTCAGACGTCGTAAAACCACGCCTCTATCTAAATGTCTAGTTTTCACCGTACAGCTATTAAGAATCCTGCTTCCCATGCATGTACGCATAATATATTGATTTTGAGTGTGCTGAGGCTTTTCAGTACCTGTTTTTGCCAATAATTGCTCCAAAAATGCACATCTATGTATTGTCATGAATTTGTTTTTGCGTATCTGTTGACCGACTTAATTAACTGATTATTAGCGAATTGCTGTGTTATGTCTGTCATCGTGTAGGCCTATTTGAAGTTTTGGACGGAACTTGGCTCAGTGATTTGGAACTAATTACCAGATAACCACCGCTTTTTAGACTACTCATTCTGACAGTTTATATCCGTAGTTATTAATGTAGTGAATGATTAATCAAAAGATATGACGTATTCAGTACTTAGTGTGATTAGCTTTATGATTGAAGGTTGCGCCCTAGAGTCTTTTTACTGCATTGTAATTGGTCAGAGTTTTGAAAATGAATAAAGAGAGTTTGAGTTGGTCTTGGCGAATACTCCACGA